AACGACTGTCAACAGTCATTGGAGAGGCGGCCGTAGCGACAATGCTATGCACGCTATCGCCGACAGAGCAACATGCTGTTGCTCTGGGATTCATCTTGAGCGAGCAACGTGGTTGGTGCCGTGAATACAGTGTCACCCGGGGTGACACTGCGGAATGACAAGTTACACGTGAGTAACTACGAAGGCAAAGAAGGTGAGACCCTTCTTCGTTGGCTTGTCGAACTCGACACTGCCATTATGGCTCGACAAATTGTCGACCCACTGTCGAAGGTTGCCTTCGCCATGTCTTGTCTTGGCGGACGAGCGCGGAGTTGGGCCTACGGGCGCCGACTCGCCGATCCTACGTGCTTCAGCACGTACGAGTCCTTCAGGAACGAGCTCAAACTTGTGTTTGAGCTCCCAAAGAATGAGTTCCGGTCGAGAGCTGAGTTTTTCGACCTGCAGCAGGATACGCAAGATGTACATGCGTACGCCCAACGTGCACGGTACTTGGTATCAAACGTCGTGACCAAACCGATTGACGAGACGACCAAGGTCGTCACGTTCGTGAAGGGACTGAAGGATGGGCCTGTGAAGACCTATCTTTTCCGAGAGTACCCGAGTACTCTCGAAGCTGCGATAACTCTCGCCATGCAAGAGGAGTTTAGCTTGCGACAGGCTAAACTACATGTGAACGTTCCACTCCCGCCCGAACCGGCGGTTGAGGTTGTGGATGAGGTGGAAGGTCCAGAACCAATAGACCTTTCAAGCGCAACTGCTGCGGGGCAGCAGTGGACGTGAGCCAACGTGCGATGCTTCCGGTGCCGAAACATCGGGCATTATGCACCCGAGTGTACGACACCAGTACACTCAACCCAAGGTCGACGTGACGGACCAGTAGGCGCGGGGCGCCCTACTGGTAATGCAGTCACGCGTGTCTACAACGGACACGCAGTATGGAGACTGCAGCACCCAGTGAGAGGGAATCTCACTGCAAGGTGCAAGATAACAAGCCAATCCTTGTCATCTTGAAGATGACGTCGATGACGAAGAGAGCGGACTCTCTTCGAGTGTTGGCAAACTCGGACGTGTCGGACAAGTTGTTCGACAACAACGTCTGCCGGTGGTGGACTTCGAGGCGAAGCATGTGCCTCGAAGTCAGTTGGAAGCACGATTGGCGACGGGTGCCATCGTGAAGACCGAGAAGCGAGTAATTCGCGCACCCTTCTCGTACAAACACCGGGTGTTTGTTGAAGAACTTCTCGTCCTGGACTTGGACGACAAGTTCGACATGGTGTTGGGCATGCCGTGGCTTGCACGGCATGATCCTACAATCGACTGGGAGAAGCGTATGGTCGTACGCTTCGGACGCCGCGGCGCAACAGAGAGCGATGGCCCTGTTAGTGCAGCGGATACGCCTAACGGTGCATCCGAACCTCCTTCAAAGACAGTGGCTCGTGCCGCTGTCTCCGGTCGCAGCGCGAGGAGCGCGCGAGCTGTAACGACTCCGGGAGTCGTTGACAGTAAAAGAGTGTCTGATCAGGGACCAGACATTTCTAGAATATTCTCCACCGTAAGGCGTCGAGGTGACAACAGCGTGTCGACTCCGGGAGTTGACACGCGCTCGAAACGGTGTGTCAGCTCTGGGAGTTGCGACGCACTGCTCCGCCGTAAGGCGTAGAGGTGATGACAAAGCATCGACTCCAGGAGTCGAAACGACAAGTTGTGCGGACGGTTGCAAATGTCCAGCACTAAAGCTTGCGTGCTGTCGTGCAGCTGGGCTACACGAAGCAGGGTGCGATCAAGTTGGGCTTGATGACGCGTGCCCGCGGGTACAAGAACCCGCCGGTGGTCGCCCGCAGACTAGAATGTCTAGAATCAAGGAACGTTCGTCCATGGCCGGGCCTGGACGAAACGCAAGTGAATCAGGGATTCACAAGAAGAAGCGACGGCGCAAGCACAAGACGCTGCGCAAGTCTCGGTCTGGGACCGAGACTCTTCATGGTGTGTCTGCCCGGCAGACACAAGTGCGAACAGTACGTTGAACGTCTTGACGCGGGCCTGTACTGGGTATCAGTACGAGAAGATGGAGTTGGAGAACCCTTCGACTGATACGTCGGAGTTGACCTCGCTTCCAGTCATGAGCTGAAAGCGCTTCGCTAATTACCTGTACGATGGACGCAGCGAGCAGCTATGCATTCTTTCGGATCACGAAATAATGACAAGCGAAGCGGAAGAGTTGAGGCAACTCTTCGCTGGAAGAGCCACTTAGGGCGAAGATACTCTCAGTGCAAAGACCAAGAAGGAGCGCTTCGAGGAGCAGAGTTGGGACTCGCTGAAGTCGAGTCCCTATTACGAGATTCTGCGAGAGCACACGGACGTGCTCCCGGACGAGATCCATGTGGATCTCCCGCAGGACAAGGGAATACAGCACGAGATTGATCTCGTGCTGGGATCGAAGTATTGTGTGACACGGCAGTGGCCACTACCGCGGGAGCAAGTGAAGGCAATCGACGACTTCTTCGACATCCGTCGCAAAGCAGGACAAGTGCGGGAATCGAAGTCCCCGCACAGCGCACCAACGTTCTGTGTCAGGAAGCCACAGGGTGGCTGGCGCATCGTTCATGCGTACAACAAACGGAACGATGCGACGATACCGGCGCAGACGCCGATACCTCGAAAGATGTCATCATCGATTCGATGTCCAAGAGCACCATCTACAGTGCTCTTGATCTGAGAGACGGGTTCTATCAGATCCTGATGCGTGAGAGTGATATCCCTCTCACGGCGGTAAGCACCCCAAGCGGTATGCTTTGGGAGTGGCTAGTAATGCCACAAGGACTGAAGAACGCCCCTGCGACCTTCAATAGATGCGTCACGCATCTATTGCGCTCGGTGCGCGACTTCGCACCGAGCTACTTCGACGATGTGTACGTTGACAGCCGGGCTGTGAACGAAAAGACGGACGTCGATATGCACAAAGAGCATCTCCGAGAACTGCTCATGCGCAAGCACAAGCTCTATGCGAACCTGAAGAAGTGCATCTTCGGTGCGAGCGAGATACCCGTGCTAGGGTGTCTCGTTGGGAAGAATGGCGTACGCCCTGACCCCGAGAAGGTCAGAGTGATAAATGAATGGCCTACGCCAAACGGGAAGGAACTGCGGCAGTTCCTTGGCCTTGCCACGTACTTGTGCAAGTACGTGGACAACTACGCAGGCAAGATTCGCCCGCTGTCGCAGCTTCTGAAGAAGGAAGCTGCGTGGTAGTGGACTGCTGAGTGTCAGCAGGCGTTCGATGCAGTCATGCTGGGTTGACCGAAGCGCCGATCTTGGCTGTGGCTGACCAAGATCGTCCTTTTCACGTAGTGTTTGACGCATCCGATTTCGCAATCGGATGTGCGTTAATGCAACTCGATCTCGAGGGCCGTGATCGAATCGTCTACTACCAGTCGCGTCAGTTAAGGCCAGCCGAGCGAAACTACCCGGTACATGACAAGGAACTCCTTGCCATGAAGTA